AACTCCACCCTCCCATAGGATTTGTCATCACGGGGAAGGGCCAACGCGAACCTACTCTACACTTTTAGATTTAGGTGGGAGAGCAATGCTAGGGGCACTCGCTTTTCGCACTCTCCGGCCAGCACTTCCCCTTTCATTGGGTCACGTAAGCTTTTTTAAGCTTTCAGGCGCAACTTCTCGGGAACGAAGATAACGTGGCCCAATAAAAGAGAAAGTGTTGACCGGAGAGTGCGAAAAGCGAGTGCCCCTAGCATTGCTCTTAGGTGGGATTATCTTTGATTTTTCTACTACTTGAAAACATTGAAGACTTAACCCACGAAAGGAATCCAGCAGGCTGCTCTTCATTTAATTTTATATGTCCACTACTAACTGATGAAAGCGATAACTAAATCAACTTCAAAGTCGACATATTTTCATCCACCTTTGTCTTTGATTTATTTAATCCAATATGTACAGCGATGTTCCGCCAATCAAGTTATTCCTTTTTCTTGAGTAACACTTAGCTTTCTCATTTGGTCCACCTAAGCAAATTGGATCCCACATAAAATTGCAATATTTTTTGGTAAAAAATTGCAATTTTTGGTTGTATCTTAACCTGTTTGAAAAATTCATAACTTTGATATCTGATTTGAAATTGTAGCAAATGGGTTGAGAGGAAAGCTGGGAAAGCCTGCATATTTGGAAGACTGGTTCACTACAATCACTCCATTATTAGCAGGGGAGTCTGCTTTCAAGGTTACTTTTGATTGGGATGAGGAGATTGGGGAACCTGGAGCATTCTTGATAGTAAATAATCATCACAGTGAGTTCTACCTTAGAACTGTCACACTAGAAGATGTTCCTGGCTATGGCAGGTTCCATTTTGTATGCAACTCTTGGGTTTATCCTGCTAAACATTACAAAAAGGATCGTGTTTTCTTCGCAAACAAGGTGAGTGAAGTCTACCCTTTTTGTGTAATTAAGTAATCAGAAGAGTGAATTCTCAATTCTGTTGTTGAATGATTTATACATGCTCATGTTCCTTCTCATTCAGACTTACCTTCCACATGAGATGCCAATACCCTTACGGAAGTATAGAGATGAAGAGTTCTTGGTCTTGAGAGGAGACGGGAAAGGAGAACTCCAAGAATGGGACCGTGTATATGACTATGCTTACTACAATGATCTGGGGGATCCGGATAAGGGTCCGGATTATGCCCGTCCTGTTCTTGGAGGGTCTGCTGAGTATCCTTATCCACGGAGGGGAAGAACAAGCCGTCCTCCAACAAAATCAGGTTGGACATTGCAAGTTATCTCTAATTAATTCATGATATATACAGGAAGTGTCTTGTTATTACGTTTCTTATATTGCTTCGTTTTCACATATTCAGATCCTAACAGTGAGTCTAGGTTGCCACTTTTAACGAGCTTAAACGTTTATGTTCCAAGAGATGAGCGGTTTGGCCACTTGAAGATGTCAGATTTTCTTGCATATGGATTGAAATCAATTGCTCAGTTCATCAGACCTGAGCTAGAAGCTCTGTGTGACAGCACTCCTAATGAGTTTGATTCGTTTGAAGATGTAATGAAAATCTATGAGGGAGGAATCAAGCTTCCTAAGGGCCCTCAATTTGATGACATTATGAAGAATATCCCCTTGGAGTTGCTGAAGGAAGCATTACCTGTTGACGGTGAAGGACTATTCAGATATCCACTGCCCCAAGTGATTAAAGGTAGCTTATATATGTATTAACAATGGCTTTTTTTTAAGAAAATATAAGAAAATATTGTATATTAGCGTGTAGATATTTCATTTTCCCCCTTATAATTACTTGGATATGTTACCAACTTTGAGCAGAAGATATGTCCGCATGGAGAACCGATGATGAATTTGCTAGAGAAATGCTTGCGGGAGTTAACCCTCTTGTCATTCGTCTTCTAGAAGTAAGCCTATGCCTAAACATCAGTTTTTCTCTTTATCATTGATTCTTTTGAAACCGCATGACATTAGAACTTCATCGAAAAACAAC